CTAAAAAAAAAAGACAGAAACAAAGCACATTTACAGTGGTAGATAACTATGTCAACCATGGAAATAATAGCATCCACTGTAGATCTATATGAAAAAGGGATACAAGCTTAAATTAGTAATTAACATCCTCAAAGAACAAAATAGCTTAGACAAGCAATTTACAGTCTATTGTCAATGCAAGTCTTATTTTCAAAGAGAACAAAATATAGGACTTTAATACAGATACTGAAAAAGGAATAGAAAGAACAGACAACATCAGACTGTCCAGGAATACCCCACATCTCTGAGGGACAGAAAATGTATGTGACAGAATGTAACCCTTTCAGTGACCCATATACCCCCAACCCCAACCGACCACTTGACAATAAACTTCATAATCCCCTCCCCCCCTTCCCCTTTCACCTCATCAACCGCGGACAATAAACATCTCCCGCTAACCACATGTCAATAAACCACATACCTCCCCCCCCCAACACACACACACACACACACCAACCACTTGACAATAAACTACATTATCATTAACTGACCAGGAGTACCAGCCACTCAGCTTCAAGGATGACAAAGCCTTAAAATAATGTAGATTTGTTTTAAAAAAGCAAAGCTTGAACTTTGTTAGCAATCATCACTAAACCACATTTGTATATCTTTATGTGGCAGCTTTTTTTAACAAGCGATCCGGGAAATAAAGGCTAGAGATAAAAAATTCAAAAAAACATTGTTGTAATAAAAAAAGAGCCCTCAAGCTCTTGAGAAGCATATTCACTATCAAATAAAAAACCCGCAGACACTCTTCAAATTATCAAACAGACTTTGGACTTCACACGGGAAAAGTGTTAGATAGTACTAAAGGAAACAAAGGAACAGATAAGGACAAAGAAAGAAAAAGATGAAATGCTGCAGGATAAAAATTCTAATTTCCCTGTAATTACCTTTGTTAAGTATTCTTTATGTATATTTGAGATATAATATCACCAAAGAGGGTTAGTAGGCAGTTTCAATGGATATTGATAATACAGTATCCAGAGAACAGTTTTCTCTGCAGTATGAATGATATATTAGATATCAGGCACATGCATAATTTATCGACTGCTTAGTGTAAGACTCTGCTATATGCCATTCTGAAAAGTGACGTATGACAGAGTCTTACGCTGAGTGGTCGAAATATAATAAATATATAATGTACACATGATCTAAGGACTCAGATTTCAGTTTACACCACCAGTAGAAACAGAGGCCAGTGCTCTTTACAGCTTAAAAAAACAACAGCAAAAGAGACTCGACTGAATCTGAAGTATGAATGACGGGTGGGGAAATGGAGAAGGGGAGTGTGGGGTATGGATAGCCTACGTTCAGCGAACGCTTAATGCTGGGACTTCATCAATCATTCTATCCTCATTCTTCAATTCTTCATACAAGACATGCTCTTAATTGGAATTTAAAGAGATTATGCTGCCAACCACCCCCAGTCGAAAAGAATATATATCCTCTACCTTTACGGTTCTTCCATCAGCTGTTGTTTCTTGAAATTCTTCTCCGATGCGAAATTTGACTTCTGAGGTCTTGAAAGTAGAGGATGTTTTGATGTTCCACTCGCCATCAGTGACAGAAATTTCTTGCCTTGGCTTCAGTTTATTTGCAATCATCCGCGTGGCCATGCCAACCCCTGTCAAAATTGATGCAATCACAGCATAAATAATAGAACAACTCACTCATGATTCCGCATAATGAGTGCATGCCAAAACACTGAAATGAGCAAAAATCCTACTAGCTCAGAAAAATGATACACTGATACAGATCTAGAATCTTAGTCCTGCAACAAATTTTGAAAGCTGAAAAGGTGAGAAAACAAGGTTAGCGTTTACACAACATGAGCCAACACTACAATCATGTGCTCTCCTCTACACAGGATATAAGGAGATGCTTACAGAAAAAAGGGTAAAAATGAAAGAGAGAGGGTCATAGAAAGCAGAAAAATAGAACAGAAGAAAGGAGAGGTAAGAATATGTGTGTGTGTGTGTGTGTGTGTGTGAGTGTGTGTGTAGGTGTGTGTGTGTGTGTGTGAGTTTGTAAGTGTGTGTGTATTTGTGACGGGGTGGGGGTGGATGCTGTCAAGCTGAGCACAGCAAGACAATCCAACAATGCATTACATTATAAAGTTGTGGGCTACTAAGCATAGGCCTGCATCTTGCTTATTACATGTTCTATGAATTAAAAAGGGAGGAAAAACAGCCTTTGTTTTTTGGTTCCACTACACAAGTGCAACACATTACAGTTCAACAGGCAAATCTTATGGCAAACTCTACTCCGCCTCCCACTCCTTGTTTTTCTTCTCTGAGGTCGTAGTTTAGGAAAAAAACAAACAAAAAAAACCACACACTGGCACTGGGCATGAGTAACCTTACAAGAAGAAAATGTTGTGACTCACCCACGCTCCGACATCGACCTTCAAACCTTCTCGAAACCAACTCTAGATTAATTATAGGATAATTTACTAGATTTTCCACCACCATTATATTCGGTGTCTTCTAATCAAATATTGAGAACCAGTAGTGCCGGCAAATCAGTGTGGCAGTAGATCTCCTTTCTCAAGCTCTTCTACTTACCCAAAGCTTTCATGTAATCATCGAACTTGTCGGTGGTGTCTAAATCCCATTTTCCAGGAGCAAATTCCTCGACTGACATGATGACTGGATGTGTTTGAGTTTATCAAGAATAAAAAGCACTAAAAGAGTTGTAATTCGAGATTCTACTTGGGAGAATGAACGGCGTAGTCTCAGGTCCGTCGTCCTAACAGCTGGCCAGCATCTGATCTGAACGGCAAATCTAGCAGTCGGCCGATTTTATTCATTCCACCGAGACCTTTGATTCATTCAACCAGTTCAACGCGAACATGTTTGTAGGGGCGATAACTCTAAGCACTTTATCCAGCAAAGGAAGGTAAACAGAATGGAGTTAAATCCCCTCCCATTCATTACGCCCCTCCTCTCCTCCCCGCCCCTTTCCGCATATTCTTTGTGAGCTTACGGCATAGAAGTAGAATTGTATTGATCCAGGCCTAGGTTACAATAGCTTTATTGTTGGTTCAGTGTACTAAGTTTACACACACA